GTGGGGGGGGGGGGGGGGGGGTAAGGTAATTTACCTGCTGTGCTGGTGTGCTGCGCCCTCTGGAGCATTTCATCAAGCAGTTTATAGGCAATTTGTAGGGGTCAACATCTTTGCTTCCAATGATAGATTCCGGGCTTGCGGGGGTCTATTGACCCCTCTTGCCCCGATGTGGATCCGCCCCGGCCTGCCACTCTACTCCTTCCTCTTATTGTTTGGTTTAGTACACCTAAATTTGTACGTCATATTCTTCACCCTCTCCCTTCTTGATCAAAGTCCTTCTTCTTACAAGCTAGCACAAAGCAATCTATCTAAAGAAAATCGAGACTGGAATTCAGAAGGTGTGGACGGATGAGTTTTACTTTTTTAATTTTCTGGATGGGTATGATTTTGTTTAATTTTCTGATGGGTTTCTTTAATGTGTTTGCATCTACATCTAATTGAGTTAATTTTTAGTGTTTTTTAATTAAGGATTTGATGGTAAGATGATAATAGCTTTTTCATGCACCTTATAGGTACTTGCTACCAAAAAAAAAAAGCCACATGAATTCCTTGTGTAGGGGTCTTTTTCCGTCGGAAGGCTCGTTCGGGCTTGTTGATTCTCGGACCGCCATAGAGCGATGGATCAAGCCTTCGTTGCCCCTTTTTCTGAGTTAGCGAGGACTAGGCCCAAAGCATCCCGAGGGAAAAGCATGTCCCAGGGGGTACTCTGTTCTTCTTCCAGCGGCTGTGTGTTTGATGTTGACGTTTCCGGCAGCTTGACGAAAAGTTGAAGATGACTTGCTGATGTAGATCTGAGATTATATTAGCTTGGCATGAGAGCTTGGAGTGTGGGAGCTAAAGATTCACAAGTTTAGCAAATGAGAATGCATGTGCTTGGCTTGGTGTTGGATATGCTTAAGTTTGGGGTGTTGATGATTTGTTATTTGTGGCTATGGCTATGGGGATTTAAGAGTTTCAAGAGGAGGATGGGAGGAAAAGCTTGAGGCTTGAAGGCTATGGTAT